AACGCAGACGCAGCACAAGAGCCGTTGTGCTCATAGACACGACTTGCAAGTTTTCAAGGTGGTTCGGAGGCAAAAACCGAAGAGGACAGCGAGGAGGCAGAAGCGGCCTCGAGAGAAGGAAAAAAGGTGGCGGCCATGCGGCGGGGCGCAGAGCGCGTCACGAGCTACAATATACCAAGTTCAGCATGACCAGCGTACGCCGCAAACCCACGACAATGCCAGGACAAAGAACTATGCACATACACCGATTCTGGTCCGGCCCAACCCTGAGCCCAGGATCGGCCCTCTTACCTTGGCCAGGAAGGTATATGCACCAATCCTGGGTCAAGGATGGGCGTTGTCAGGATCGGTGCATGTGCATAGTTCTCTTCGCCCGAAATGCCAGGATAGATTGATGGTGCCAGCCTGATCCCCGGAGCCCCGTCTCGCAGACATGAGCAGCACAGATGGCAGGCCGAAGTGCGGACGACGCGCCGCTCAGGCGTAGCAGCTTGGCTGAGGATTCAGTCGGCGAGCTGGTCTCCCAATGGGTGAGTGGTCGAAGCCAAAACCAAGACAAGTGCAAAACCATCCCTCCATCACTGCTCCACCAGATACGCACCTGGATCACGACATCGACAGCATCCACAGACAATGGTCAAGTGCCCTTGGCTTCACGCAGCGCAGCTGTGCTGCACTAAAACGCAAGAGCTCGTCACACTGAATCACATACAGTCAACATACCCTCAGCGAGCTATCCTGCATAGAAGACTCCTGCACCACCCCCTCTACAGAAAGCTCCAAAACCAGGCATAGTCCCACGGCGGCGCAATCAGTTGGGTTCAAAGCGTACGGCCCGAGTGGGGGTAGCAACCCGAAGGGACAGAGCTCCTGGCTGCTCTCCGCGCGTCCTCCCGCATCTGGGAAAAAGCTTCGCCGGGATCGACGGAGATGGAGGAGGGGGGGGGAGCCGAGCGATGACCGCCTGAGCCGAGGGATGGCTTGGCCGCGGAGGGAGCGGGTGGGAGGTAGCCAGTGAGCACGCCAAGGAGACACAAGCCGCCTGCGAGGAGGGAGGTGCGAGGATGGACGGCGAACGGAAGAGGAAGGACTCGGAAACTGAAGGAGTGGACGGCTCCGCTGACCGCAGTGCCCGCGCCCGCACGCCAGCGGCGGCGCGAGAGAGGACGCGCACGCCGTTCAGCCGAGGCTGGCCAAGCCGAGAGGGCCTGGGCCCCTCGGCCGTCCGAGGGACCAGGGGCCCTGCGGCTCCACCCCGCGACCTGCCCAGGCCGCGGAGGCCGAGACTGGCTGCGAGGGCGATCCGTTAGCGGCGTCCGCGGCACGATCGAGCGACTGCTGCTTCTCCGAAGATGGGGTGCGAGGGAAGCACGAAGGGGGGGCGTGCAATCCAGATCAGCGGCGTGTGAGGACTCCTAGATTCAAGCCCTGGTAGCCACTCAGCAAACCCTCTGCCAGACGATCTGACTGCCGATGTGTGCTCGCGGGGGGGCTGCAGGAGGACGGGGGTGCAGGGGAGGGCGAGGAGGAGAGAACAGAAGGAGGAATCGGGGGAGGCAGGTGTGGAGAAGATGTGCAGGAGATGAGCGGGCTGCCGTCTTCAAACTGACCTCGCAGGGCAGCCAGCTCAGGCATGACTGCATGGTGCCCGCGGACGAACCCTGATCTCCGACGCCACACTTCTCAACACGTGGGCCTCCCGAGCTCTCCGCCCCGAGCTTCGAGTCGACTCCGCACGTGGGCCGAGGCCTGTGGTCCCTGGCCCGAGAAAGGCGCCTCCAAGAGCGTCTTTTGTAACCAGCCTCGAACTTATCCCTATCCCTAAGATTGACACGCCCAAAGGCGATGACAATCTTAGGGATGCACCCTCAGAAACTGAGGGAATCCCTAAGGTCGCCATCGTGATGAGGCGATGCCCGACATAGGGATAGGGATAGGTTCCAGGCTGGTAATTTTGTGTTGTCTGATGCCGGCCGGAAATCTGCAAAAACCCTGCGCCTGCTGCAGTAGAGGCCTCCTAGATGGGGTCGGAGTAGATGTGGTCGGAGGACCGCGCCGCATCGGCGATGCATCGGCGATGCATCGGCGATGCACCGGCAACGTCGGTGATGCACCGGCGACGTCGGCGTAGAGAAAATCGGGCTCCGCATCGAGCCGCATCGCCGATCCGACCCCATCCACTCGGACCCCATCTAGGAGGCCTAGACTGCTGCAAGCCCTCTCCCTGGGCCCTCCGGGCGGATGATCAGGTCGATGACCCCGACCGTGGTGTCCAGCCGCACCGTGTACGCCACAGGCCCCTGCCGGCCCCGCAGAGAGCGGCCTTTGCTTTACTGCTCCGGACGTCGAACCAGAACCCCGACGTCATGTGAGTCTCACGACGCTGGAGGTCTGAAGCCCTCTTCCTCCTCCTCCTTCTCCTCCTCCTCCTCGTCCTCCTCCTCCTCCCTCCTCCCCCTCCTCCTCCTCCTCCCTCCCTCTTCCTCCTCCTCCTCCTCCTCCTCCTCCTCCTCCTCCTGCTCCTCCTCCTCCTCCTCCTCCTCCTCCTCCTCCTCCTCCTCCTCCTCCTCCCCCTCCTCGTCCTCCTCCTCCTCCCTCCTCCTCCTCCCTCTTCCTCCTCCTCCTCCTCCATTATTTTCCTTAGAAATAATTCCTTCCTCTCACACCCCGAGGCCAGTTTTTAGGGCGGGCCGGGCGTTTCGCCTGAGACTTCCTCACTCTTTCTGACATTGAAGCTTACAAAGTGGCAACTGCTTCACAGATTGAGGGAGGGTGGCTTTCAAAATGTGACTCTCGCCTTATCGCCGCACACATTCGATTTAACAATTTGCAAGAGTTTCACGGATCGAGGGCGGGTCGTTTTCAAAATGTGGCTCTCGCCTTAGCGCCGCACACATTCGTTTTAAACAGTTGCAAGAGTTTCACGGATTGAGGGAGGGTCGTTTTCAAAATATGGCTCTCGGCAAGATTCTGGACCGCCAAGACGCAGCAATCAGGTTGATCCGTGGCGTTGAAATCCCAGAAACAATGTTTTGGCATGCTTCAGGGTCTTGAAGGGTGTCTTCCAACGAGGCAGTTCCCTCAATGGAAATGAACCGTTATAGGGGCCTATGAAGAGGGAGCTTGAAGGGAGGGCCAACATCGTTGATGACTCTTTGGTATACTCTGGTCATCCTCCTCCTTCTCCTCCTCCTCTTCCTCCTCCTCCTCGCCCGTCCCTCCTTAGTCGCCATCCTCAGCATCATCGCCAAATCACAACGGTTGCACCGAACGTAAGAATAGCAATAACAATGGTAATGGTACTCAGGAAATATGAGAATATCAAACCGTAATCATGATAAAACTAATGTTCAGAAGAATAAAACCGTTCTGCGATTGATAAAATATTGATAACAATTCACAAACAACAGCAGCAACAGCAACAGCAACAGCAACAACAAGAACAATAGCAACGACAACAACAACAACAACAACAACAACAACAACAACAACAACAACAGCAACAACACCAACAGCAGCAAGTTTAAGACTGCTCGCTTCTGTCTGCTCACGTGCCAATCAACACGTATGTCCCAAACCCTCGGTACCCGCCCTCGTCGTCTTCGATTGTACCCCCTTGGGGATATATCTTCCTTACCTGCCACGTGTATGTAGTGCAGCCCGCACAACAAGGGAAGAGAGGACGGGGGGAAGGGGGAGGGAGAAGGATGGAGCACGAGAATTTAGAAGGAGGTGGGCAAGGAGCAGAAAACAAGTGGTAGAATCCAGACGGGCAGATCGGGTGAACAGACCCAAAGCGGGCAGATCGGGAAGGCGGGCCCAGGCGACGAGGTCAAGCAGGCGGGTTGCTGAAGAGTGGGTTCTGCATGAATCGCGAGGAAATCTCGAGCGACAGCGCGTTTCCCAAGTAAATCGTGAGAAAAGCCAGCGTGGGCCACGAAGGGCATGAACGCCGAGGCCACAGAGGGCAGCGACGGGGCCGCTGAAGGCAGCACCGGGGCCACGAAGGGCAGCGAGGGGGCCACAAAGGGCGACAGCGGGGCCACGGAAGGCATGCATATGGGGCCACGACGGGCGCGAGCGAGCGGGGGTCACGAAGAGCATTCGTATACGGAGCCACACAGGGCGACAGCAGGGCCACTGAGGGCAGCAAAGGGGCCACGAAGGGCAGCGAGGGGGCCACGAAGGGCGACAGCGGGGCTACGAAGAGCATGCGTATGGGGCCACGACGGGCGCGTGCGAGCGGGGGCCACGGAGGGCAAATAATGCGGGGCCACAAAGGGCAGCGACGGGGCCACTGAGGGCAGCAACGGGGCCACAAAGGGCAGCGAGCGAAGGCGACCGCGGAACCAGTACGGGCAGCGAGGGGCATCGAAGGCGGGCGAAGGGCAGCGAGCGGCGACTGCAGTCACCAAGCGTTCCCCTCCCCTCCCACATCCGTGCGAGGCGGGGATTTATCCATATCCACCGCCTGGGAACCGACGTCCTGGTGCCCCGACGGGCGGTGGATATGGATATGCTTCGGCCCCTGGGGGCCCGAATATATCCATATCCACCGCCTGCCGAGGCCCCCGAAATTGATGCTCCAGGCGGTGGTCATGTACAAATTCCCGCCTCGGACCCACTCTCTCCCCCGCCTCTCCCCGTTGCCCCCTCCGCCCTCCTCTCTTCCCCACCCCATCCATCCCCCATCCCTCCTCTGGCGCCAAGCGTCGCTGCCCACCGCACTAAACTCAGGGCGGCAGGGCACGATGATGCGATGCCAGCGCCGGGCGGTAGTAGTCGATGTCGTGCTGCGCGCTCCCCCGGCTGGGGGGACACAATGATACCGGTACCGCAACTCCACGAACCCCTCCTGGGGTGCGCTCCGACATGGCTGTCGAGGCGAATCCAGCCGCGGCGACGAGGGATGGGTAGCAGTATCGGTACGTCTTCCTCCTCGGAAAGTTGGGCATCCTGCTCCGTTCGATGATCCTCAGAACGTTTGTCAGCGCCAACGTGTGCCTGTCCATCGAGGCCCTTCGGTGCAACGCAGGCGGCGCCACGAGGGCCGACGGAGGCTGCGCGCTGTCGGCGGAACCGACCGAACGATGTAAACACACGCTTGGGCGAGCACACGTCCTAAGGGCACTTGCTGAGAAGAAGAGCAAACGCCATAAACATGATGTGTTGGATCTCCGCGCGGACTTCTTGGATCTGCGCTGGACACCCCTCCCTGGCGCGCGGACCGCGCCAGGGGCGGCGCCGGAGGCGCCGCCGGAGGCGCCCAGCGCGGATCCAAGAACTCCGCGCCGAGCGCCACAAGTGTATGTTTGTGGCGTGTACTCTTCGTCGATCGATCCACTCCCGCCTTCCCTCTGCGCAGCTGGCGGCGGCCGCGGAAGCCTCGGGCACGAGCGACGGGTCTGGCCGGGCCAGGTCCTGGCGCGCCTCGGGGCGCAGAGGCGCGGCGGGGGCCGGGCAAGACCGCGGGCACTCGGCGGAGGAGGAGGAGGAGGAGGAGGAGGAAGGAGGAGGAGGAGGAGGAGGAGGGAAGAGGAGGAGGAGGAGGCGGCGAAGGAGGGAGAGGAGGAGGAGGCGGAGGAGGAGGGAGAGGAGGAGGCGGAGGAGGAGGAGGAGGGAGAGGAGGAGGAGGACGAGGAGGAGGAAGTGGCCCAGGGGGACACCCCGACCAGGAGCGGGGGCCCCCAGGGTGCGTGCTGCGACGGCCGCGGCGGATGGAGCGTGCCACTTTCCTTCACACCACCCATCGCTGCATTTGACAGTGTGCACGGGTTGTGCACTGTGCCCTCGACAGTGCTCGATCGCAGATGGCTACTTCCGTCTGCCGTCCGCGCCGGAGGATCCTCTGTGCCGCCGACTTTTCATTAACCAACGAAACACGTGCCACCGACAGAGAGCCGCGAGTGCGCTGCGCAGGGCGCGCTCAGGGCGCGCTCAGAGCCCCTGCACGGCAGCACGCCTGCACTATGCACGTGCGCAGGCACGTGCGAGCGTGCGTGCGCAAGTGCAAGCCCACGCGACGTGGCCAGCGTGCCACGCCGCAGACCTGCGCTTCGACGGCCACGCAACGCCGCACGCAAGCCAACAGCGCTGGGCACAGTCTTGCTGTGGCACAGTCGCGAGAGCGCTGGAAGATACGCCAGGCGGCGCAACTGCACTGCTTGACGTGCTTTTGCCTGCTGGCCCGCGTGCGCTCAGAGTTGGGCCACGACCACCCCAAAAGCCGCCCTCGCAAGCCACGCCGTCCCCGCGCGCGCGCACGGGAAGCGAGGCGAAGACCGAGGAGCGAGGAGGCAGGAGGGAGGAGGGGAGAGGAGCGAGGAGCAAATGGGGGAGGGAGAAGGAAAGGGGAGGGAGGACGGACGGAGAGAGAGGGACGGAAGGGAGAAGGGGGAAGGGGGCTCCCCTTCCCGTCCACATCGCATTTCTGCTGCAGTATGCTGCAGCGCCGTTTGCCCCCTGTCCACCCCCCCGCACCCAGACGCCGCCCCCCCTGTCTGCTCGTTCTGCTGGCGCCCGCCGGCTTTCGCGCCATCACGGCTTCTCAGATCGCCGCAATCCTGATACAGTCACCAACCTCGATCTTATACCTCGATCCGACAGTGCGGGGCTGCCACAGCTCTCGACCTCATCTCCCCCGTGCACACCGCGCCATGGGCCTTGCTGGCGGGCCCTGCGGCCCGAAAGCCGGCCTCACGAAGTGCGGACTGCACCAAACTCGGCGACTACTCCCCCTCCTCCTGATCCTCCCCGCCTCACTCCAGCTCACCCCACCCTCCTCCCCTTCCTTGTCCCCATCTCCCTCACCCTCCTCCTCCTCTTCCTCACTTAGGTACTCCATCACTCCTCCTTCACTCCTCCCTCATCCCCCCTCCTCAGTTCCATCGTCCCCCTTCATCCTCCGTCTCCTCCTCCACCTCCGCCTGCTCATTTTCCTCATTTTCATCACCTCCACCTCCTCCTCCTCCTCCTCCTCCTCCTCCTCCTCCTCCTCCTCCTCCAGCACTCCCCGCAGGGGGGCCGCACGCCTGGTGAGGGGCGTCGGCCGCCCCGAAGAGGCCCGCGTCGGTGCCCTCGATCGTGACGTCCTGGGGGGTGGGGCCCGGCCGGGCCCGGGCGGGGGGCCCCGCCCGCCCGCTGCGCTCGCCCTCTCGCTGCCATGTTCGAGCAGCCACCCGTCGGAGCTGCGGCAGGCTCGTGCCGTGCGCCAGAGACGAGCGATCCAGGAGATCCGCTCGCGGGCACCCGACAGCTCAGGCTGGCGCCGCTGCCCCGTCGTCGGGACCCCGAGCGGTCGCCTGCTGGAGTGCGGCCGGCTCGCGTCGTGACGAGCTGCGCCCTGGTCCCCGGCAGCGCGCGGGTCGTTTCGGTCCTGAGCGCGCGCGGCTGTGCGACAGCGCAGGTCGCTCCAAGTCGGCGGATTCCGGGCTGCTGGCGGCCCTCAACCTTTTGAACGGCCGCGCCAGAATCGCAGCGGCGTCAGCACGGCGCGAACCTGCCACACACGTATGCGCGATGCCGTGAACAGCAAAAGCCACCGTGTGAGAAGAGAGCGCAGGGTGAACAGTCTACGAGGGGATGGGAACGAGGAGGCATGAGGCGGCCTCCCCATTAGGCGTTCGGACAGCTGATTGACAACCCAAGTAACCTTGATGTTTAAACCAGAGGTCAAAAAAGAGGGCATTATAACAACCATTCATACTGATAGATATGACTGTACGTATCTGATGGTTGCCCGCGGTGCATATCAACAAACATGAGGTCGGTAGCACTTGCACCTTCTCGCCAGTACTTCAAAGAAAGTGTCGGCGGGGAGATTGTGCATCAGGCAGAATAGGAGCAGAGATAAAGTTGAGCGTGGGAACTCAAAATGGCACTCGCTGACGGAGAGAAACGGCCGCCCCCCGGCCCCCCCTCCCCCGCACAGGAACAGTGCTCCCGCTTTGCGGTGATACCAGACCTGCGTACTCTTCGCATGCTTCCCAGCTTCACTCTGCTCAACCATCCACCGCAGGTGTGGCTCGCCCAAACAAACTGGAAATGATCGCCCAAACATTGCAAGTACAATATAAAGCAGCGCAACAGCACGGGAAGCAGCCTACAGCACAGAAAGTATGAGTTTGTATTCGAGGTCGCCTCACAGTCTGACTACACCAAGCCGGAAATCCCTGTGATTGGATCGCATGATATCCCCCCATTCCCACCAGACTTGTTGATCGTTGTACTTGGTGGCCACCTCCTGGCATTCAATGCAGATGTCAACTCACAAGGGTCAAGATTCATGTTTGGAATCTCCTGGGATGCTTCCTGGGACAAGCCCCGCCCAGTACATGATGAGCCACGCACTGACATCAGCGCAATACCCTTTCCATTGGATGCGACAGATGTAGCACTTGACAACTTCCTTGATCGTAGCAAACGTAGTCCCGTCGGTCTGTGGCAAATGATAGTCAGCGCTTTCATCGCACTACGGAGGGATAATGAGCATCGCTGCGGCGGTACGTGTCGCAACTCTCTTGCCGTGGCGAGTTCTCTACAGCTCATCAGTATCACACTGAGTGGTATGGCTCCTCTGCTGGGTGACCGTCCTCACCTGCGCATTGAGATTCTCTCTGCAGTGAATGCATGGCTGCCTCTGGCGGTGCTGAGACCATTCCTGGGCACTCCATTCGTTCCATCCTCAAGATCGGTACCCTGGGCAATCTCTCTCGAAGTGCACTGGAAGTCCAAGTTCTAAAGCTGTATATATATGCATTGATTTCCTTCGTTCGGTCGTGCCTCTGGTTGGGAGAATGTCTTACCACGCTGGCCAAGAGTGAGCGTTACGCGCCGTAGGCGGTGCAGCCTTACACACAGCGCAGGCTGAACATTACTACAACAATACACCTGACCGATCGAGGTGATTCACGGAGCACTGGATGACCGTGGCATCGCACCACTTGGTCATGGTGATGTAGCTGCTTGGCTCTGCACGATGTGGTATCGTGCTTGAGCATCTTCATGACGTCGTTCGAATTCGCCTCGACATCAACCTCGTCCCTCATGCGACTCTTGTCGTACAACGTGTTGTTGGTGTAAATGACATCAAAATGTCCCACGTACCTCCATGGAAGCTTCCTCTGAGTCAGCATGGACCCCTCCCCTGCTGTCAATTACATGGGCATGCTGAGTTCCACATTCACTACCGAATGTCTGAAATGCATGATGTCATGTCCACTGTTTTCACGTATGGCGATCTTGACTTTCCGCTTCTTATAAAATTTTGAGGCCCCAAGATGGCTCAAACATTGCCCCATATGGCTGCAAATGGGATCTGGAAGGGCTCCGAGAGGGCTCCCAAGAGGGCCCCAGTAGAGGCCCAAGGCAGCTCCGAGGGGGCTCTAAGAAGGCCCCAGAGCGGGCAGAAAGGGGTGGCAGGCCTTAAGATGGCCCCGAATCGAATCAGCCCCAAGATGCCCCCAAGACAGCCCTGAGGGGCCCTAGGCCAGTCCCGAGATGGCCCAAGATGGCCCAAGGCTTCCAAGAAGCCAAAATCATTGAAACACACATGAATGTGGGTTTGCCATGATGTTCACTCTGTCGCCTCCCCGTTGCCTATGGCAGTCTGAGGTCTCAAGATGGCTACAGGATCGCCCGAGATGTCTCCAAGAGAACTCCGAAGACCCCCGCGAGAGCCTCAGAAAAGACCGAAAGCAGCTCCAGAGGGCCCACGAGCGGCCCAAAAGCGAGCATCACGAGCATCAAGGGGTGGCAGGCCACAAGATGACCTCTAAACCGCCCCAAGAGTCCCCCAGGGCAGCACCGGCAGGCCCAAAGACAGCCCCGAGGTGGCCAAGGATGACTTTAAGACAGACTCCGAGAGGCCTCCAGGAGGCAAAACAAAAACCAGAGGCGATCCGCACCAGCGAGAGGCCTCCGGGAGGCAAAACAAAAACACACAAGCACAGAACTGACCCAATGAGTGTGGCGTTTGCGCCCTTCGCTCAAGCGATGGCTC